CCCTCCCACCCATACACTTTTCCCCTCACACCACCCGGGGCGACGTCTATAACGGAAATCTGACGCAGGACGCGCGGGATGAATGCTCTGGATTAGTCCAACGTGTGCGTCGAAATCGGACCAGCGGCTTAGAACCCGTTTTTCGAGCAGAGTATTGTTTTGATTTTTCATGATGGCGGCTTATCCTGCTAGCCGATGGTGATTAGGAGTCGCGCAAACGAGCCAAGGGGCCGATGAGGGTTAGGAAGACGAGGTGGGGTGAGGGGGTCGTGGACTTAGCGGGAGAAGGGGTGGGCGTTCTTGCCTCCGATCTCTAACATGTCTTTGGAACGTCTACCGGTGTACACTACACATCTACACGATGTGCGGATGTGTGTGTGTGTGTGTGTTGGTGTGTGTGTGTGTGTGTGTGTGTGTGTGTGTGTGTTGGTGGGTGGAGATGATGCTGCCTGCACACTTAAAAGCCGTCAATTCCCCGCGTATCACTGCCTCCTGAATGGGGTTATTGGCGAGGAGCAAGGCCAGCAAGGCAGACTGACTGCGCCGCTGCCTGCTACACACGGGCCCGCAGAAAAGAGCAGCGGATTAAAAGAAAAATCGTTTTCCGGACCATTGCCCCTGACACTGCACCGGCCTTCATCGGCACGCAGCTGCTGCGTGGGAGCTGCGGACTTGGGGGATTTGGAAGGGGGGGGGTGAGAGAGAGAGGGAGAAAGAGAGCTTTGCTACTTTTTCTAGCGGGGTTCGATCCATGGATGGATGATGACTTCAGAGCAGATTGTTTGTAAGCGCTGTTCTTTCCAGTTTCGGGGAGAAACGACGGCATAAGGTATTCCGGAGAACGGGTAAAGAAGAACAGCACGAATAACAAGGTGGCCCGTGATTCGTCGCCCGGTCTCCCCCTCCACTTGAGCGACGAATCACAGGCCCCTTTGTTATTCGTGCTGTTCTTCTTTTCCAGTTCTCCGGAATACCTTATTCCCTTTACTACCGCTCCGCCTCCTCGCCGCCAGCAGCGCCTCGGCGCTAGTCGAAGCGTACGCTCGAGTGTCAAATAAGTTGCCTATCCTCTGATTGGCGGGCGCTCGACACGCCGCCCGCTCGCTCCCGCGCCACTGCGGTGCGGAGTGGTGCTGTCCCCCCCCCCCCTCCGGCATGGAGTATCGCCACTGCGCTGGACCCGTCAATACACCATACGGTGCAAGGCTGATTTGAAAAATCCGTGCCCAACGTGGCAAAGCGGACGAAACAAGACGAAGCAGTGTTTATATGTGAAATATGAATGAGTCAGGTTATACAAGATGCTTAATCTTAATCGTTAGGCAGTCTTCAAATATGCGTCACCAACTATTTGTTCGATACATAGTTCAGGGCATTGGTTATAATTACGTCAACTTCTTAATGTTGTAAAATTTAGTTAAGTGAGTGACGAGAATGTGCAATTCAAATTGCCATGTTGGAGATCTAAACAAAAATTCATTTATAACTGAATTCTGAATTATCTGCAAAGGCAAAGCTACCCCTACTACATTGATTAAAACGTTTTGACAGGTCAATCTTCTTCCAGAACAGTCAATTTACTGGAAAGCTCAGAAGGTGCAATACATGGTTATGCCAACTACTTGGAATGACAAAGGTATCATAAAAGGTAAGAACAATTGGTGTATTTTTCAAGTTTATTTATTGAAGAGGGGGACGTAACAGGGGAAATCAGGCAATGCTAGAGGCGTTGGAGGCAATCCTAGGCCACAGATCTGCGCACTCTTTCGCCACAGGGCCAGTGATGGCACTCCCTGAAAAAAGGAAACAAGGTTTCAGTTAAGGTTGTCACACTGTACAATGAAGTATTTGCTGGTTACTTTTCCTCCCCTCAGTATTGTAAGAGTAATCATGAGCTTCAGGTGAAACACGGAACAAATAATTCATCACAGAGGAGAAGTACCAACTTTCAGTAAAAGGTGTTACAGTAATTTACCAGGGCCAGGCATAGACATGCAGGGACCAACGATGATTGACCGTATATAATTTAGCACCATATAAACGAACAAACCGTGGGAAATCCAGGGCTTGCAGATACCAGTAGTGCACAGTCAACATTTAAGACATATCCCCTCAGTATTGTAAGAATAATCATGAGCTTCAGGTGAAACACGGAACAAATAATTCATCATTGAGAAATGTCTTCAACCATAGAAATTTTAATGAAACATGTTGAAGCCGTTTAACCAGGTTCATGGACAAATAATGCATAAACCAACGATGATTAACTTCACTTAGTTTAGCACTACATTTACGAACAGACCGTGGAAAAATGCCAGGGCCTGTAGATACCAATAGTGCATAATGCAACTTAAGATAGGTACATTTAAGAAAAAGCATCGAGAATCACCAACTCAGTGTTCAATTATAATCAGGGGCTTCAGGTGAAACACGGAACATAGATTTCATCACAGGTGACAAGCAACAGTAAACCCATAGATAGGAGGCAATTTACATACCTTTCATTTCTCCTTTGTTATTTACTATAACCCCTGCGTTATCTTCAAAGTAAATAAAGACACCATCCTTCCTTCTAAAAGGTTTCCTCTGGCGAATGACGACTGCAGGCATTACTGTGGAACGAAGATGTGGTAAGCAAAAGACAACACGACAACCCAAGGCAAGTAACAGTACAAGGCAGAAATACGACATACCCTTTTTTCTGAGTTCAGGCTTTCCTTTCTTGACTGTTGCAACAATCATGTCACCTGACCCAGCAGCGGGCAGACGGTTCAAACGACCAGATACGCCATGGACAGCAATGACGTACAAGTTCTTGGCACCTAAAACAGAGATTGGACAAGAGATCAGTACAGACAGTCGCCCACACTAACGCGAATGGGTCGCATTACTACACAGCAATGCCGCCCCAGGGTAAGTAGGGAGCGGGAACAAAACAATCGAGAAAAGGACAGTACGCCGCAAACTGGAAGTCAAGGAAGAGAAAAACGCACTCGGCTAGGGGCTTACTGGCGCCCAACAAGTGTGGTAGGCAGATAAGGTTGAGGGGACGGACACTTCGAATCTGTGGCTAGCGTGTTTAGGCCACACAACTAATGCCGGGCGGACTCGTCCACGATAGGTTAGGAATGAATACAAGTGAACTTACCGGTGTTATCGGCGCAGTTGATGACGGCACCAACAGGGAGACCGAGAGAAATGCGGAATTTGGCTCCCGCGGAACCTCCGCGTCCTGAAAACCAGATATTTACAGTTTAGACGAATGTGACAACAATGCACGACGTGGGCCTCTTCGACAGGCAAACACTCGCCACATCGTATGCAGACGGTTTCTCACGAATATATCATCGCGTATGGGTAAAAGAATCCCCATAGTGTACGACATGTTAAATACAATCAAATATTCAAGTAAAAGTACAGATGATTTCGGATTAAAACAGATCTTGAAGACCCACCTCGCTTCGACATCTTGTGGCTGGAACTGAAGAAAGGATGGGAGAAGCGTTTCCGGAAAAGGGCCTTTCTACGCGCTCAGCTCGATATATCGAAGATTACGGAACGTTATGGCGTGCGTTAGGTGGCAGTGCACCACACTGCGGGAAAAGAAAACAAAAAGGAAGAAGGTCAACAACAACTCCTCAAACTCAAGTTTTAAACCAATCGCAGACGTGTTACGTGTACAGCTGATTACCGGTACCACCTAGGTACCCGTGAATGAATAGCATCGTATTCGTTGCCAAGGATAAAACTTAGCAGCTATTGGGTATCGATACCTCACCTTCACACTTTATGACAATATGTAAGTCTGTAAGCTGTAAGTCTCTACGCGTTCAATTTCTAACTCAAGTGACAGGAGGTTACATCTATCCAACCAATTATTTATTTACTCAATAGTGTATCGGGACCATGGATAATTTGGTTGGAGGGTCATTCTACATTCTTCTCCAATCTTCACAATGATGGACATTAATTTAATTTTGCTCCAGGAAACCTTCGTCTTTTTTATTATTTCTGGGCTCACTAGTGGTCTGCCTCCTAGCGCAAAATACTTCAGCTCAAGGACTTGAAAATCTGAGATGTCTCAGTAAGTATTTTGGAGTCTGGATTTAGCCTATTGAAACATTGGTTAAACAGTACAGCGAAAAAAAATTCTCCAATGGTTTTTATGAAACCAATTTTTTTCAGTTTGCAAGCAAATAGTTCAAGACCTACAACAGATAATAACGAAAGTTGACCCCAAAAAGAAAGTTGAAGTGGGCAGTTATCGATTGGATGCTGAGGGCAACTCCAAACACAATGTGGTTAGTGCTTTGCATAAATCTTATCAGTTCTTAGTCTAAATTGTTACTAATTTGCATATTTTACCTATTTAGATTCCCTATGCATTATCTGAAATGCATATAAGTGATTCCTTGGAAACAGTCTGTAAAGGAATAGATGATTATGTGAGAGCAACAAGAAAAGATTCAGGGGAGCTAGTACTATTGAAACTTGTAATTGATGGTAAAATGAACTCTGACATGTCAGAAGTTGACATCATTCAAGATGGTGATCTCAACAAAAGTTTGAAATACTATGTAAGTTACCCAAATCTTTAATTACTATTGTTCACTCTACTCGAACCATCTTTAAATTCAAACCTTCTCTTGTAGTGTGATGGAATAGTTGAAGAATATGAAGAAGATATTGTTAAAATGTTCCAGAAGAAGGAAAAATCAGCAGAGAACAAATTGTGTCAGGATGTTACAAAGTTGTGTAAGCCAATGGCTTCCATCCATGATGACCTCTAACTTCATTTCCATATACACCTGCAACTGCCAATTGACAATATTTTTCAAATTATAGAGTTATTTTATCTATGCACCTCGTTTTCATCAAGTACATTCCTTGCTGCATTTCTTCCTTGATTGAAGCAATATTATATAAAACTGTGATATTTGTCTAATAGTATTAAGAACCATAAAGAGAATACTTCTCTGTGAAATTGATCAAAAAGTACAAAAGTGACTGTTTAAAAAAGTACACAAATATGTTCCAGCTTTTTACTATCATTCTGTGCCAAGAAAAAGAGTATTTCTGGGGAGAATACAATACATTGCAATATAACAAATTAGTTGAAGAACTTTATTTTTACCTTGATGTATTCTTATGAGCATATTTATGAAGATTACTTGCAAAGATTATAAAAGGAGTATTGAAATTGATCAGTTATATTACTGGTTAGAACAGATTACTCCCATTTGTAAGAATATTGAATGTCACCTTGGCAGATCTGTGTTTTTAGCTTCGTTTAAACTTCTTGCAAGTTTCAAATTTCTCAAACACCTCATCAAAGGAAAGGGATGACATTTTTTGTAAAAATGGCTGTGAAGAATAGTTTCCAAACAGTGTCACAAGCAGAGCAACACCATATCCAGTAGCTCTTTCTCCCTGAATGAAAAAAATACAATGATTTAACAAAATGTAGACTTTGATTTTTCTAGCTGAAGGATCTTTAGCAGTCAATAGAAAAAAAATTATTTTGAACAACTGAAAATGATTTAAATGATTTACACTTACGCAGTGACAAGGGCTTGCCATGTCTACATGGATCCATGATCCTGGGAAATCAACTCCCAGCTGGGCAAATATAAATAGCCCTGCACATGATGATTGAGCATTGCCTCGATCCTATTGAAAATAAGAATGCAGATGAAATGAATCTCTATTGAAGTAATAGATGACATAACAAATACTACTGAAATCTTGTGGACACTTGCCGCCACAGAATTCTTCATGTCAGCAAAAGCAGATGAAAATTCAGGCAGGTGTAATTCAGGGCAGAAGGGTATTGGGAAAGTGAGGTCCCCGCTTGTCTTTCCTGCTTGTAAGCAGTACTCCTCCCACTCTTCCCTGTTTGTGAGGACAGCTGCATGATAACGTCCAGTGGCAATAGCCTAGGTAAAGAATCAAAATATTATGAGGGAGGAATGTCTTCAGCCCAATATTGATCATCATTAATACAGAGGTAAATGTTTTAAGATGTATTCATACCTGGGCTCCTGTGAGGGTTGCCATATCCAAAATAACATTGGCTTTAAGGTCTTTCTGAGCAAATGCAACTCCATCTGCAAGGACTAACCTCCCCTCAGCATCAGTGTTGTTAATTTCAACAGTTCTAATGAGAAAAAGTAAAAAAAAATAATCAAGTCACCAAATTAAATTGTGCTACGAGGTGGTAGGTGTTGTGAAAAATAATAGAAACAATTTGCTGTGTTTACCTGCCAGAATATAAAGTCAAAATATCATCAGGTCGAGTGGCATTGGGACCAATGGCATTTTCTGCCAAACAGAACACGGCATGAAGGTTTTCTGAAAAGCCTAGTTTGACGGCAGCTCGGAAAGCTCCCAGAATAGCAGCAGCACCACCACAATCACGTTTCATCCCTGGCATGGCAGTCTGAAATAACCAGTTTAAAAAATTAGTGTTGAGAAAACCAATCATAATCATACCCCATTTCCAAAATTTACAGATACCTAAAATCTGTGTGAATATTTTGAAGTCTTACCTTGCCTTTAATACTCAGACCACCAGTGTCATAAACAATACCTTTACCAACCCATGCTATAGTTTGTGTTGCATTAGGAGGAGTGTATGACAGTGTTACTAAAGCAGGAGGAACAGTGGCTGCCTGTTAAAACAAAAGAAGTGTTGAGCAACAAGAAACAAACATGGATTAATAACTGTGGGTTACCTTGACTTACTTTCCCTACTCCATATAGACCACCAAAACCCTTTTCTTTAAGTTCCTCTCCTTCTACTACAGAACAAGCAACTCCAAGTTCAGTTGCAACTTGTTGAATTTCCTACAATTAAACACAAACATATTAGTGCACTAAGTAAACCACAGAAGGGCTTGCCCTTTAATCACTAGCAAAAAAATAAATCAGAGAAATATTTGTGTGACTTACCTGAGTAAAGTCTTTTACATTCATTTCACTGCAAGGTGTATCAACTATACGAGCAACAGTCCTCACACTGGTACCAATCTCCTCAAGACAAAGAAGATCATTCTCAGATAATGTTTGAGCATCTTCTTTACCTCCATCCACAAGAATAAATTCCACACGTACAGTGGCTGATGTTGGCATGCCCGAATTCCCACCTCCAGTACCATTTGATGTGCTGGCTGGCTTCAAAGTTTTCCGTGAATAGATAGGGTACGCCCGTGCCACAGCACATGCTGATGCAAGAACATCTTGCCTTTCACAAACAATCTGACAAAGATGTAAATTGGAGGATTAATTAAAGAAACAAGAAGTATATTTGAATAAATAAAAATGGACACAAAACTCACCACAACATATTCATCAACACCCAAACATGTTGATCGCACCAGCTTAGTGATGAAATTAGCATGCGATGGCGCATTGTGCCTTGCACAGCGCTTTGGTAAGGCTGCTAGTGTGGCCATGTTCAAATATAATGAACATACATCAGTTGGTGAAGGCTGCATACATGTTAATGCTGATTGATAAACCTATAAACAGAAGTGTCTCAGTTGAGATTAAATTGATCTTGAAATATGTCTTTCTGGGGGATTGAACCTTTAATGCTTGACATAAATATTTTCCTCATACCTCTTCAGAAACTCTGGGCTCCAGCTTGGCTTTGATGACATTGTAGGGAACTTGTTTAAGGTTCTCAAGTTTTCCGATGATTATTACTGGATTTACAAGTGGATCAGATTCCGTCAGCTTGTTAGAAAATGTCACTTTAACTTTAGACATCTTTATATATGTTTCCAGAAAGCCTTAAAGTAGACATAAGAAATAAAATAAGAAATACATTGTAACATGTCGTATGTATAGGTTGAGTCTTTAGCTTATGCTTTACATAAATTATTTAAATTTTATGCAGCAGTTACACAGATTAGGTAACAAATTCCATTAAAGTAAAGAAATCTTCAGCCAGAAATAGCACTAATTTTAGAATAATTTATATGAAAATATATTATATGAAACTTGTAGCAAGAATATTTAATAACAGGGTCAACTTATAAACTTTGTCATTACCTTATCACAAAGAGTACAAAACAATGACACTGCTAAAATTGAAGGTTAATGATAGTAACAAGAAGGCTGAAAGAAACCGGTCTTGGGGATAAGCAATTAAACTTACCACAATTAAAAGAGAAACTACCTCAGATAAAAGTTCTGTGATTACTTCTTCATGTTTACAGGTGCAAAAGTTTCAATGAAACTACCGCAGGCTCAACTGTCAGTGTAAACTCCATTGATGGTCAAAGCTTACAAATCTTCTCTTTCTTTCTCCTCGTCAGGCTTTCTCTCTCTTACTTTCACCTCACCTCTCTCCCACCACTCACCCCTCACCCTCTCCGCACTCCGTTGCACACAAGGGGCGAAACAGTAGTACGAATTATGACGTCAGTAAAACAATCACAAAGTACTTTTTTCGTGAGCGCTCGCGCTCTCTACCGGAGATCATCGTCAACATTGTCGTCTGTTGTAGTATCCGGTGTACCGGTGCATTTACCACCTGTTGTGTTGTTCATTGAGAATCACTTGCGCCCTTGTTTTAAGCAGGTGTACTTAACGACGAACTTTTTGAACTCATTCGGCCAACGTAAGTTTTCAATGGATTCCTCTGACTTACTATGGGAACGTTTGTGCGGCTGTAACACAGTGTTTTCGCAGACGATCAAACCCAAAGTCACGTGGAGTGCCCACGAAGTTTCTTGAAATGGTTTTTCATAACCTAGTAATTTTGTGTACAATTTTCTATCTCACAGTAAAAACTGCTCTCGTAGGAGTCGTGTAAATTTTTTATGACCTACCACACATTTTTCTACTTTCTAGGAAAATGGGAAAATATCAAGAGAGACTGAATGCTCTCATTGTGAAGCTACACGAAATCAATGTTCTTAAGTTTGGTGATTATAAAATGAAAATTGGTGTGAATTCACCTGTGTACTTTGACTTGCGTATTATTGTATCATATCCTAAAGTTTTGGTAGGTGTTGGTTTTATAATGGTGAGTTATAAGAATTTAATGCCTTCTGTTTTCAACTGATATCTTACCTTTGTTTTCAAGGCTGAATTATCAGACTTAATATGTGAATTTGCCCAAGAATCTTTGAAGAACTGTGACCATGTCTGTGGAGTGCCATATGCAGCATTGTCAATTGCCACCTTAGTTGCTGTAGGCTCTGATCGATCTATGCTGGTTCGTCGAAAGGAGGCCAAGGACTATGGAACACGCAGAATGGTAGAGGGCTGTTACAAAAATGGTGATACCTGTGTTATTGTCGAAGATGTGGTTACCAGTGGCTTAAGCATATTGGAGACAGTTGGGGTTGGTTCATCTATTTAAACATAAAATCTCCCATATTTTAAAATTTGATTGTAAAGATGATTTTGTCTAAAGAAAAATTCATTTATACATTCAGGATTTAAAACGTGAAGGATTGAATGTCTCAGAGTCAATTGTGGTGGTAGATCGTGAGCAAGGTGGAGCAGAACACCTGGCTTCTCTGGGCATTAAGATGCGCAGTCTTGCCACTTTAACTGAGGTACTTATATTAGTAATGAGTAAATTTGTAAATGTGAAATTATGAATCATCAATATCTTTAAATTTACTGTCTCAACAGATAATGTATATTCTACGAGATGCTGGAAAAGTGAATGATGAGACTGTTGAGAAAGTGAAGGCATATCTGAAACAAAGTCGTGTTACCATTCCTTCTGACAGAGTTCCAACTTCTCTTGGTAAGAATTATCCCAACCATGTACATTCAACAATTACTGAAATTTGTCATCTTATAATTTTTGTAATACTTTTAGCAACCAAGAAGATTGCAGATGAAAGACTGAAGACAACTTTTGAAGCAAGAGCTGAAAAATCATCAAATGCTATGTCTGCTAAAATTCTACGACTGATTGCTTCTAAGCAAACCACTTTGTGTGTTGCTGCTGATGTGAGCAATGCTGATAAGGTGCTAGAACTGGCAAATGCTGTTGGTCCATACATTTGTATCTTTAAGACACATGTTGATGCTCTCTCAGACTTTTCAAAGAAATTTGCTCAGGAGTTGCAGCAACTTGCCAAAGTTCATAATTTTTTGATAATGGAGGATAGGTAAGCAGTGAAATGTTTTAATGTTTTTCACTTTTTCCTCTGTTTTTGCTGTTTTCTTTTAAATTTCTAATTCATTCCCAGAAAATTTGGAGATATTGGCCACACTGCCAGTTTGCAGTATGGAGCTGGGTGTTTTCAAATTGCTGATTGGGCTGATCTAGTGACAGTTCATGCTATCCCTGGACCTGGTATCATTGATGGTTTAATAAATTGCCTCGAGAACAGCAAATCACAACTTAAGGATCGAGCATGTTTTATTGTTGCTGAAATGAGTAGCAAAGATACTTTGGCTACTGGGTCTTACCAGTCAGGTACAGTAGTTAAAAAGAGGAGTAAAAATCAGGTGAATGTAATCTTTGCTTGTCATAGTCTGAAATGAGACCTTACTTTTTCAGCTGCAATAAAGTTGGCAGAGTCCAGGGAAGATTTTGTGGCAGGAATAGTGAGTCAGTCTGCATCTGGTATATCATTACCAGGGCTTGTTCAACTCACACCTGGGGTCCGTACCAGTTCTTCACAAAATGGGAAAGATAAAAATGGTACATCTGGATCCGGTGGAGATGGCCTAGGTCAGCAGTACAACTCGCCTGATCATGTTGTTCTTGAGAGAGGTGCAGACGTAGCTGTTGTAGGGAGAGGAATAACAGAAGCAGATAATCCATCTGATGCTGCTAAGTTGTATCGTGACCTCCTTTGGAAAGCATATGAGCAGCGGGTTGCAGTTTGATATCAATAGTACCCTACTACTTCTCTTCAGTATTTAATTACAATGTTACATAATTACTTGTAGATTATGATCTAAATTCTGTTTTAACTGTTAAATCAACTTGTGATGCTGTAGAAAATCGTAAGTTTCCTGTCATAAGTAGATCAAATTTTATTTTTGTATCCATAGATGTAGGGTTATTGGTTACATTTAGGGTAACATAGTTTGCCTTATCAGACTAAAAATGAATTTTATAAGAAATGTACTTTCTTTTATGTCTTGTAATAACATAAATATATGACTGCATTCAATTGTTATTTATTCTTTAAACATAACAAATATCTGGTTTCTATAGAAACGCTTCCTCTAAGAATGCAAGCTTGGGGAGGATGGTGGAGTCCACCACCTCTGTTATGATCATTCATATTTAGTTAATAAAAAAAAAAGTAAAAAAAAAAATACCTGAAAACAAGCAAAAAAATTGAAAAAGAAGTAACTTCAATTTCTAGTTAAGAATCAGAGGGGGAGTACATTTTAGTTGCATAAGAGGAACCAGAGCTCAAGATGATTTCAGGCATTTCTAATAATTTCCCCATGGAAATGGACTTTCCTTACCCCAAACCTGACATTCCCAAGTGAGACTATTTCAACAGACCATAAAAATTTAACAGATTTAGTAGTTAAGTAGTCAGACCTGGAAGTAAAACCACTGTATCACACAGGAGACCAACAGGAGGCAGTAGCCTGTTACAACAGCGTCCTGCAGTTGAAGATTGTTCTTGCCTTGACCATGGACCTACTCCAGAAGTATCTTACATGCGATACATTCGAACCAAGGATACAGAACTTTATAGCAAAATGCAAGAAATGCGCAAAGCTGTAAGTCTCATTTTTATGGATCAAAAATTTATGTTTTTTTTTGCTTACTGTGTGGGACTGACTCATTTTCACTGTGCAAGCAGATGTCTTCTCGAGCTAGCAACATTCTTGACCATTCATGTCCTGATGAAGACTCTAAAATGAATGCTTTTCACATAATTGACTACATAAAGAGAGGTAAAGTACAAGAGTAAAAAAAAATGTGTTCATTTACCATGACGATTAATAAAATGCCAACTAAATGATTGCATTTCAGGACATAGCCCAGGATGTTACACATCCCTCAGCCCTGTTAAAGTATGTGAGGCAGGTACACCAATTCAACCTCTGCAAGTGGGCATCAGTGATGGTTTCAGAGAAGCAAGTCTCTTCCCTCTCCATGTTAAGGCTAGACATATAGTTGATAAAATACATCCATTGGTTTTCACCAGAAGTAATTATTTTTTATTCCATTTTAGTACATGTATTAATTTTTATCACACATGTAGAAGTTCTGCACACTGATTATTGTTTGGTTTGTTTCAGCACCCCTCTACTTAAAACACTGGTTTTCACCATACATTCCTGGCCGATCAGAATATGAAGATACAATATCCCGCTTGGGGCTTGCAAGGATGCGAAATACAAGACAATACCTTGAACCTCAGCCAAGTTCTCGTCTGAGAACTGGTGATCCTAACTGCTGATTGCAAACTGGCTTGGAACAGAAGATTTGTGAGTCAATGAAACAAATTATAAGGCTTTCCTATGCCTGATGAAAACATTAAATGAGACTCAAAAAACTTACATGGAACATACTACACTTAAACTAAATTGAACAAAATCAAAGACAGAAGTAAAACCAAGGTGTAGAAAACTTTGAGTAATAAACTGGAGAAAATATGAGCAACTTATTTCCTCATTAAATGAAAATAATAAGTAAAATAAAATCGTTACAGAAATAAAACAAAATAATAAGGACATAACAGGGTCTCTTTAAAAAGAGTACTGAGACTACTGAAATCTTGGAGATGTGTAACCTCTTTTAGATTAAATCCAGTAACTTTTGAAAGTTATTAGAATTAAAGTAATGTTAATATCACAGGCACAAACCAACTGTTGTTGAAGTTAAACGCCTTTATGCAGAATAACCTGCACACTTTTGAAGGCAGTTGGCACTAATGTACATCAAAATTCATTTTCGGGGGGGAGGAGATGGTGTGGCTTGCTGGCGTTTTCTTAAAACTTGAGTAGACGGAAAATCAAGGCCCCAGTAACCTGTTGTAAACAAAACAGAATAAAACAGCATAAATCACTACTTAAAATAATTAATTTAAAAACTTCAGATATATCTCTCCTTCAGTTACCTGGAGGTGTTCGGGAACGGGGACCTTCCTTTGCTCTAGCTCTGTGACGAGAACAGCCATCTAGTATTATTTTCTTTGCCCGTTCATCATCTCCAGCAAAAGCTGCTTCATAGTACTGTAGTCAAGTAAAATTAACAAAAGTAAAATTGATCACTACTGTTTTGTTTTCATTCCATAGATTGATTAATGTTTTACCTCTACACAATTGCTGCAATCAAATCCTTTCAAATTTTTTCGATCCTTCTTCTTACGCACAGCAGGACCTTTGTATGCATAATTGGGGCTATTATTCTTTTGAGGTAATCTGTGAAAATGAAAATGAGCAATATACAGCTATCACATCAAAAGTACTCAAGTTTACTCTCTTATATGAATGGAAAGAGATCCAACCGATCGTAGCTGGTTCCTAGAGCAAAGGGAGCTGCATGGTCATCTTCCATATCTTCCTCTTCATTTTCGTCTTCCATCTCTTTTTGCAATTCAATTAATTCCTTTAAAGCAGAATTTTCATCAGAAACCTGTTCCGTGCTGGAATATAGTGGCTTGCCTATAGCTGCCACTACTTGTGAAGTGGAAGGGCTCAATTGTTGGAATTGAGTGAAATCCTCTTTGGCAGTACTTGAAAACAGTGGTGCAAATTCCGCAGCCTGGCCCTCTGAAGATTTTCTTGTTTCATCCGCCTTCCTAATTTTTTAAATTGAAAAAATTATCACTTCATGATATGAATGACCATGTTATGATTAACACTAAACAGACAAGCACAGAAAGCTTACATAGCAGATGTGGACTTTGTTTCAACTGCATCATCTTTTCCAACAACTTGACATTCAAGATTAGTAGGGCTATTGATTGGTATAAATAAAGTGGCATCACTATCTTCAAGAGGGCTGGAGAAACAATAATTCAAAAGGATGATTTAAACACTTACATAGGTACAGATAAAAGTTTGGTACAAGGTATACTTACACTTCACTCATCGACTTTTTAATAGCCAATTGAACTTGATCATTTTCAGTTAAATGTGAAAAATCCATGGAGGTATCAGCAACTGTCCGTAGCCCCCCCTTAAATTCAGGGCGAGATGAAATATCCTTTCTTCTTTTGGAAAGAGATAACTTGCTTTTATTGTGGTTTTCTTTTGAAAAAGCATCATGAAGAGTTTGCTGTCTTGACTTGGAAATTTTTTTGTCTGGGCCAATGTTATAACTGATTTTAGAGGAGTCATCCATGAACTGTAAATAATGAATAAAAATTAAATTCAAAGTTAATGTATTCAATATTTCAAAAAAATTACCAAAGGATGAAAAATGAAAATTAATCATACAGATTTGTCAATTCTTTTAGAGGTATTTTTTGCTCTGCTGGCTGTGAGTGACTTGGAGTCTACGCTCATAGATATATTCCAAGCAGCTTGATCTTTTTTCTTTGACTCCTTGTTTCTTCGAGGAGATTTACAAGAGGATGTTTCTGCAGAAGCTGAACTGAGACGCAAACTAGTTTTAAATTTATGTCCAGATCTGCCAAGAATTGGACTCTTGGAACTGTCTCCCTGCTTTGATGACTTTTTAGGAGTGGATGGAAATTCAACATCTGTTGATAGATCAGCAAGTTTTCCTGCCTTTTCCTCAATACAGTTAGGTGAAATATTTTCATTCTCTTTGTCATTCTGAGATGAGTTCTTAACATGATCTTTACTTGATTTTATCTCATAAGTATCAGGATCCAAGGTTGCTGGCACAATAACATTTTCCTTTAAGACAAGTCTTGTTGGAACAGTCGGACTTTCGTCAACATCTTCAGTATTTTGAACAAATTCAATTGGTACTTGTTCAGAATCACTTTCGACTTCTTTGCGGTTAAAAATTTGCTTCTTTTTGTTTTCATGTCTTTGCCGAGTATCCTTCTCAAAATTCTTGGTTGGAGGCGTGCCTCCTATCACATCTGGAGATGATGGAACTGATTCTACTTTTGATGTAGGTTCCAACTCATCTATCAATCAAAATCGAATTAAAGACATTTTAATGGGAATATCACCAACAAATCAAAACACAAAAGTGTAAATACAACTTACAAGACGGAGCTCTGGACTTTTTGAATTTTGGACAATTTTGCCGACTTTTTTGACCTAAAATTGGAGGAGTTGCAGGAATAACATCAGGTGAGCCAATGTCACTTATTTTGTTGGTGGCTGATTTTAAGTGAGCTACACGCTCTGCATAAGGTCGTTTTGGTAAAGTTTCTTCAACAGCTGAAACTTCATCCCAGGAATTGAAAAAAAATACATTCCATGAAGAACATTGTCATGCAATAAAAGTATAAGGTTCAAACAAAGTAAGAAAATGTCTAACCTCCTTCAGAGATTGCGTTTTCTTGACACATTTGAGTCATCATGTCAAAAACAGTTGCTGCTTTGTTTTGGTGTAGACAATTGTTAAATATTTTATGAAGCCGAGCTTCAACTTCAGTTGATACTTTTGTTTTCAGTCTGCAAAATGGTGAGTAAGAATGAATAATTTTGGAATCCAATGTTCATGCTGCTTACCAGGTAGACTGTTTAATTAAATAGAACTCTGTAACAGTTGTTAAATTTTTCCTACACCTATAATTTAAGAATACAAAATTTTGAGATCAAAGCAACACAATGAGGGATCACAGTCAAGAAACTACCATGTAAGAATATTAAAAGGACTATGAAAATAGATATAGTTAGCTTAGAGATGGGTATTTTGAAGTTAATTGATGACTGAAGACTGCCTCTCTCACTTTTTGAAACATCTATTGAACATACCTTTCATTTTCCTTTTGATACTTTTTTGCTCTCTCTTCGGAACTTTGGAAATCAGATTTCAGAGCCTCCAATTCTTTGCATAGTGTTCTCTTTTCTGATTCGCTTTTTTCTCTCAAATCTGAGGCAACTTTTAGCTGATCGGAGACAGTTTTCAACTGTGATAACGAACTCTGTCGCTTTTGATGGAGCTCTGAAAAATAAGATTGTAAATCAGTGAGTGCAGTGAGGAAATAAGTGCACATTGATTTAATTATTTTTTAAATAAAGAATGAAGAGCATTGCAAACCTGTGACAAGCATTTTTGTTGACTCAAGGAGAAGCGACAACTTGAATATCTCTTCTTCACTATCACGGTCGAAAGCAGAGACATTTCTCGGTATAAGAGAGTACCATAATGACTCAATGTCATTGTGTAGCCCACGAGAAGATCCTAACATCTTAATGTTATTATTGTTCATGACATCAGCTGAGCACCTCTTGAGAAGTCAATGAGCAAACAGCGCGGTAATTAATTAAAGAAAGGCCACAAACCACAAAAACAGACCACAACGACACGAGTAATAATCTACGTCTTTCAACACATCCCTTGCATTCCTACATTACACACCATTTTTTTTTTTGTTAAATTAAATATTTAGAAGTTTTGGAAAAACTATCTCTCTTTGTTCGTTCTTCTAAATTCAATACCAATATCACCTCTTGAGTTGTTCTTTTTGTGAATAACTAAACCCTAACCGGCGGGGCGCGCACCACGGCAGGATTTTTCTTGTGACAGATGAGCGCGCGAAAACTTTAAATTTCAGATAGTTATTGCCACAACTACAACTTCCTGCTCACTCACTTTGTCAAAAAGGATTAAGTTGACGACTAAGATATTTTGTTCATAATGATATTTCTTCATTTCAAAAATTAAGGAAGTGATAGTGTACACGAACCAGGCAATCATTCTAGCGCGTATATCCTCATATTTTAGTCGATTCTGGCCATGGGTTGGTATTCTTTCACCAACTGCTGACCACTGATGACTGACTGACAGTGTTTCTTTGGTTCCTTCATTTCTCTTTTGAATCTTTTAGACGGTAAAGGAAGGAAGTTAATTTCTCGTTCTTTGGTTCTTTCCTGAACTTTAAAATTCGATGTAAGAATTGATTCATTCAGTTTCATATTTCTTGAGATTATTTTCATATTATTTCCTCGCGTTAAGTTTGTTATTGTGCTTTCATTTTGTTTGGTCTTTTTTGTTTTGTTGTGTGATTTTTGTGTTTTTTTTTGCCTTTACCAAACTGGTTGTTGACTCGTCCTCTCGTCTCTACGTCTGTGACTACCACTCTGAACTGGCTATTTCATGAGAACGAGTACTGCCATCTAGTGTTTCTAAGGTCATTTTGCACTTTTCTGTCCGTGAACGTATTCCTTAGAAATCACTCGCGGAATGACACAAGTAAGACATTTAACCTTAGTGGTTGACGTCTCCGATCTGTCATTTGAGTGTCACAAAGTTGTCATTCTATTTGCGAGATCGACCTGTACCATTCAACCATTCAAACAACATTGTTGCTTGTTCCAGGCCTAGGATCGATCGTTTACAATCCGGAGCAATGTCATTCTCAGACAGTCTGAGGCTTCTTGGCTCCCTGTGGTCGTCGTCCATTCCCTTGGCCGGCCCCTCAAAGCTCGCAAGCACGGGTCTCCATGACTCCTGCACGAAAGGCTTTCATTTCCTCGTCCGGCTGGCTTGGGAGTCAAGGTACTTGCTACCCATCATGTATGCCGTGTTTTCCTTCATCTTCGACATTCAAATGAGACTGGAGATCATAATTCACCGTGAAAGACGAGTCGTTGTGGTGGAGGAAGAAGTATTAGAACTGGAGGCGGAGGAGGAAGAGGAAGAGGAAGGCACCGACAGCGAAAATGGTGATGGTGAATCTGTTGGCCAGTCTGAGGCAGATGAAGATGACAGCGAGAACGGAGATATGTCTAGTGATGCATGAATGAATTGGCCTCCGCCTTTACAGATCGCACTATTTCTGAATGCAATATCTTTTTGCGCTTAATATATATTGTTGGAAGAAGAAGTAATTCCTGTTGTGATAACTATTAAATTTATGTCTTCAACTTTGTGTGTGCGTTAATTGATAGGATTGGGAGGTGGCCATTTTATTATCTGTCTCATGATTAAAAATTGCTTTTCTACTCTTTCACTTAAATTTCATTGGTATATTGCCTATTGTTTCTCCAGCACTATTTTTAGTACTTAACAAAACTTAAATTGTTTTTTATGATCTTTGTAAAATTTCACAGAAGTACATTGTTTGTAGGTACTTGAATGGAACTACTTTAAAACTTCCCTCCTGACTAACTGGAATCAGAGGCCTAATTTGTGGTTAAGGATCTTCAATTAGTTTGCGTCTTCAATTTGTTTGCAGAAAATGAAACAAGCCTCCTTTTTTTCTTGTGGACATGTAATTGCACATACTAAACCTTTTAAAGAGCTAATGTGACTGTGATTTTGTATTATATGTTTGTCATTGTGGACTACTGTTATGGATGATAGAAGATGTTAAGGGGGCCATCCAGCCCTTTCATTGTATAATTTTAAAATTGATGTGCAAATAATTCTAGGTTTTCTATTTACATGATATTGTTTAGTTAAACATGA